ATTTGTTTACTTTATCTTCAATTTTTATAAAAAATAATTATAAATGTTATAATCTTTGTTATGCTAAAAACATATGAAAAACCATATAGTAAAAGAACACTTATAATCTAAAAAATAATTACACTACTTTTACTATTTCACATTTTAATAACTACTTTACATATATTAAAATTACAAACACATTTTATAATTAATACACCTATTTAAACACATTAAATCACATTCTTCTAATTATTAAATAACAACCAACCAATAAAAAATACCAATTATTAGTTATAAATATTCAAATTTAAAAACAAATTTTATAAATTATGTATATAAAACATAATCAACTACTTAATAAGAAAACCAAACAAAACCTACGCCCGCGGGATACCGCGGGTTAAATCCTAGTTTATATTATATATGGAGTCGAAGGTTGTATACCTTCTCTTTAATTCTGTAGTAGGCTATGCCTCCAGAATTATATGGTCTTTGGCCAAATCACCATCTTTTTTTTATAAGCTCATTATATATGCTGGTTGATTTCCTCAATAATCCCCAAATTAAACCCCGAATATAACCGATCTAAAAATAAGATTCAGTCCAAGATAAATAGGCTTGAAAAGCCATCATCTTGAGAAGGGGTATTACAAGTTCCACAATTTTTATAAGGATCTAAGATTAAATACATGATCCAGATTGGATATGTTATTAATCCTAAAGTGGGATTCAGTTCGAGATGAATGAACTCGAAGAGTTATCATCTCGAGGGGGAGAATTAAAGGAATCCCACATCGACAATAAGTCGATAAATTTTGGTGAGTTTGACACCCCAGAGCGAGATAACTCTGGTGAAGTCATATCCTAAAATTTATCGCTTTTTGATAAAATGGAACATCTAAAAATGATGTTCACTCTCAAAATGAGCTTTAAGCGAATCTTTCATAACGCAAATCCAAGAGATTGCAAAACGATTCATGGTGATTTAATCTCCATGTTTTTACATGGAACATGCAGTTTTGCATGTATTAATGATTATATACAAGACCAACGATTTATAAGAAATATTTCTCCCATTTTTTATATACATGATTAGAGATCAAATATTTCTCATTTTTAAATTTTACGGGTGTGAGATATATATAAATGCTCATCTGCACCGCATAAAAATTAACATCCTAAAAGGATGAAATATATAGACGCTAGAGATGAGTCTCTGCTCTATAATATTGAGCCATCTTATGAGAGATGTGCCTATTGCAAGATTTGCATATCATCTTGTTGATGATAAAAATTTCCCATCATTATGGGAGAAACATTGAATAGTACAGATCTTTGAACAAATGACTATTTTAAACACGAACTTAAGAGTTCAAAGTTCAAATGGATCACTATTCATAATAAATTGCAAATCAAATGCAAAAAGTTGATGGATGAGATTTCATGAAATTATTGATCCTCATATAAATGCATATGAACTTAAAAGTTCATAGGAAATCTCTTGTCCCAGCTAAAAATGCTCTACAAAAAACATGTCTCTGGCGGATGACATATTATTGTTTATAATACGATAAAAACGTGATAGACAACTTTGGTTCCAAATATAAAGAAAATCCTAGAAAATAAAAGGGAGTATATATTATTATTATTAAAAAGAGGATTTAACTCTTAAAAGAAGAGCATATAAACTTCTAAAGAGGAGAATAGAGACTCCTAAAGAGGAGCAAAGAGACTCCTCAAGAGGAGCAAAGAGACTCCTCAAGAGGAGCAAAGAGACTCCTAAAGAGGAGTAAAAAGACCGATTGTCATGGTTAACAAACGATATCAGGTACCTAAATAAAATCATTTATAATGATTAAGAGATCTCGATTAACCATGTCATTACGGAAAATATGGAACCAAAGACAACATAATGTCGACAATAAAAATGATCTAGCGCGCAAATGTGATTAATGAGGATCATGAATCTCCGCTCTGTGAGCGTAAAGAGATATATATTGGCCAATAAACAAAGACGCAGCCAAGTCTATAATAATCTCGTATATGAAACGAGTAATTCCTGGACACATGGTCCAAGCATCAAAAGAGTATTATGATACTTAAGACAAGACGATGTGTCGCGCCAGGTTTTGTCAAAATCATTCGATATTGAGTTGATGAATAAATGACTTGAATTGCGTCTCATGGGATGTCTGAAGGACTAATCCTAAAATATATGATATCATAGTTATATTCCCGGGAACTTATAAGCATGATGTTTTTGATCATCATCAAAACTCTTAAAGAGTTATTTGGAATAAAAGATCTTGGAAAGACAAAAGTGTCTATAGATCTTTCAACTAAACATCTAAAGAAATAGATGTTATATTAGTCACTTCTAAAGGAAGTCGACTCTATATAGTTTGATCATGAAGCACTATATATAAATGCTGACGAGTATTTATATATTTTGTGAATTGTAGCTAGCATATATAAATGTTGACGAGCATTTATATATATCTTGTAAATATATTGTATCTAGCATTTGCTGCTGATCTACTTGCAGGATTAATTGATCTCCTCCGACTAGATGTTGAATGAGTTCAAATGTGTCTTCCATATCTACAAGGTCCGACTGACTTGGGCTTATTTTATTCTAGAACCCCGAGTTTGGTTTAGTTGGTTTTGCAGATGGAGGATCTATATCAGATCTATATAAATATATATTGCAAAACAACAACTTCGTGGCATTTCCAACAAGAAATTTTGGTCGTCGCTTGTTCAAGTTATGCCAAAATTATTACGCTCCATGAAGCATGTTGATAATCTGTATAGCTCAGATTGATGTCCTCAACATATACAAGAACCAAGCAATATAGTCGCCAGAGAAGAGCCAACAACATTGTTTAAAGAAAATGTTGTATGTGTCGCTCATTTCAAAAGAAGCTATGTCAAGATCGATATGACAAGACATGTTCTCCCCAGATTCTTCTCATGCACTCAAGAATCTGAGAAGAAGCAAGAAGTCGATGTTCAGTACATCTGGCCAAGTAACAATGTAGCAGTTTCAGTTCAAAGGCGCTTCCTGCTACGTCATTCAAAATGCATCTTTTGAAGATGATGCTTCCAGGGGGAGACATATGATGATGAGCGTGGCTGCACTCTTTTTCCCTTATCATGGTTTTTATCCCACTGGGTTTTTCCATGACAAGGTTTTTAACGAGGCAGCAAATAACACGCAAAAGATAGACATCAAAGTAAATGTCTATCTCTCTTCCAAAATCTTTGTTATATATTGACGAGATCAGAAGAAGCGAAAAGAATAATCGAGATGCATCATCTACGAAAACTATGAAGAAAACAAGACTCGTCTATTCCAGGGAGAGATTGCGTCACTTTACTCTTTTCCTTTATCATGGTTTTTATCCTATACGGGTTTTCCATGATAAATTTTTTAACGAGGCAGTACGTAATACGTTATTGATGATGGATAATTAAGGGGTAGTGTTGAAAAATATAAAATTATCCATCCAAATAATATATCTATACATTATCCATATCTATCTTGGGATGCAAGGCACTTGCTCACCAAGTTTTCTAGCTATATATATACCCATAACTTTGAGATGTAATAAAGGTAGAAAGAAAGTTGTATTTTGCTTCTCTCTCCCATTCGTCTGCTCCTCTTCTCTCTGCATTTTATTCTTCTTTTCTTTGATTATACATATATTATTATATTATAATATATATATGTTTGAGTTATAGTTTTATAACAGTTTGTTGTTTTTTACTTTGATTTGCAACGGCTCTAGTTCTTAGAACAACTTCCCATGTAATCTAGAAGTATAGTCTCCTCATCTTGTACTTTCATACTATTAAACCTTATTTTGTGATTTTGGGCGAAAAAACGAATAGTAGTGCAGCTTTTCTAGCAGTAAAAAATTTGGGCTTATGTACTCGCTTTTATGAATAACTTTTAAAATAGTACCAACGATTGACTTTGAATTATATGTCTCTGTTTTTCACATTTTCTTACAAAGTGACAAAATTATAGAGTATAAAATATGTGGGACTGGAAATATATATGAAGGTTAGTGACAAGTATAACTTACTAGTTATAGGAAACTATAACTTAATTTTGTTCTTACTATTTAATAAAAGCATATATATAACATTTACAATTATGTCTTAATGTCATTTATAAATAAATTTAACTGTATTAATATCATAAGAGTGGCAATTAGAATTTAAAGAATTTATTTTTATTGTCTGTCTAAACACATGTAATTTAGTGTGGGATATTAGTAACCACACGTTACAAAATTGTGATTTTTTGGGGCTGATTTTTGTTTTTATTTCATTGTACGTTCATAAACAATTTTGTTTCTAGTTTCTAATTTGACTGAATGTAGTAACATGTAATGTTGTTTTGACTAATTAGTTGTCTCAATAACACATTGAAAGATAAGAGTTGAGTAATTGGTCTTTGTAACCTTTGGATCAAAACCAATACTTGATTGCATGCATTTATTTTCTATAAACAAATATAATACTGAATCTTCTTGGTTTTGCTAATCGAATAGTCCAGTGAAAAATAAAAGCCGAGTAGTTGTTTTACTTTTTAATGGGTGGTCTAAAACCAAAACTTATTTGCATGCTTCACTACAAGAAATCTATAATGTCAAGTCACTTAATTAACGTTACTTTAGAAAATGACGTAAAGTTATTTAAAAAGAAGGGATCTAGAGTCGGTTTAGTAACCGACTGCAAAAACCAACGCAAATATTATTCAAATTGGTGGGCTATTTTTTTGACAGATTTAATTTGGTGGGCTATTATTCGAATTAAAGCCCAACCACTAAAGACTTAGTGAAAACACGAGCATTCTTCTTCGGAGAACATACGAGCATCTTCTTCTCCGAAGCTTCTCAAACCCAGAAAATACGAGCATCTTCTTCTTCGAAGAACTTCAGTGTCATCGAACAAATCATGGGGTTTTTCGTTTCTATGAATTTCTAAGTAGATTTCAAGCGTTCGTCAATCTCAATAGATCCCGAATCGTTCATCGATCTCATCAATCGCGATTTGATTTTTTCTCGCCGACTCCAAAATTCAAGGTACCATTCACTTGCTCCCTCTAGATTGATTGTCGACTATTAGCCTATTTGAGATTTGTGTTTGTTTTATTGAAGTTTTGATTATGCTATGGTTCTCGAAAGGAAAAAAAACTAAGAGACTTTAACATGAACATTAACATATCCTTGAAAGAGATACTGAAGCTCTTAGTTGCTTCATCAAAGAATCTGAACAACACACACAATTCATCATGTTTTCCTTGTTTGCTTCTTGCGTGAGTGAAATTGATTCTGGATTTGTGAATTTTGTTTTAAATTTTTGTTGAAAATGAGTGAAATTGATTCTCAATTTGTATTTTACACACAATTCATTGAATTTTGTTTAACACGTTTGATTGATTATAATATATCTCTGTGATGTGCTGTGAGTGTTGTGAGATATATAATTATACATGTTTTGATTCTGGATTTGTATTTTACTGATAAGCATTGAATTTTGTTTAACACGTTTGATTGATTATAATAACACGTTTGTTGCTTCTGGATTTTGTCTCAATAAGAATATATGTTTAACTGATATTTTTATGACTCCATGAGTTATCGATACTATGTTTGTGGTTTCCAATTTCCATTTCTATGGAAGTTAGAGTGTGTTTGTTTATTGATTGAACTTGTATAGTTTCAGAATTGAGAATGGACAAGTCTTGGATTACAAAACATCGTATATCTCAAGACTACGTATATTAGATTAGTGACGCAAATAGAAGATCTTGAAAGTTCTCAGATTCCATCTGATTTATATGATAATATGGAGGTGATTATATTTGCTTGAATTTTGCTTGATGATTATGATTTTAAAAGTATTCTAACAATTATTTTCTATCTTTATATGTGTAGTATGTCTGAGACTGATTCTCAAGCTCCCCCTCCTCTTGGACCAGAATTAGCTAGTGGAAAATGGAGAGTTCGTGTCATAGGTTAGTTTCTTCTTTAGCTTTTTCATGTTTTAACTTCTTTTCAATTGAACATATTCTTGGTTTATATGAATATCCATTGTAGCATTTAGTAGTATACTAGTCTTGTGATCAAACTGTATCTCTTTTCATGTCAGCTATTAGCTTTGTTTTCTTAGATGTGTTGTTTTTTGATGATTTAGATGGAGATAGAAACATTACAGAGGAAAAGATTTCAGGAAAAGAAGTGTGGGGCTTGCTAAATCGGCGGGTTATGGTTGATTTCAATAGAAGAGGACAGGTTATCAAAGATTCTGGAGGTTTGTTTGGTTCGTGGTTAGGTTCACTGAGTAATGATCTTAATATATTACCTATTAACTACACCGATTGGAGGACAGTTCCCAATTACAGAAAAGAAATGGCTTGGAAAGTGATTCAGGTATTTTCATTACCTATTAACTATTAGACTTTACTTTGGATAAGCTCTCACCATCTTTTCTGTTCATTTTTACATTAACACAGAAAAAGTTCTGGTTTGATAATCCAAGGAGGAGGAAGAAATATGTTTTATCTGCATTAGGAGTCAGATGCAGAGACTTGAAACAACGCATTTGGATGAAGTACAGAAGAAATACTATAGAGGAAGCATGAAGCAAGACCAGGACTAATTCCTGAAGATCAATGGAAAGAATTTGTGGAAATGCAGTTCAGTGATAAGGCTAAGGTAAAATCTATTCCACAACTACTTTATAGTTTATATATATCACATACAAATAACTATGTACTGCTTTGTTACAATATAGAGAGTGAGAGAGCGTAATATTAATAGTCGAAACAATCATAAAATGCCACATACACTTGGAAAAAAGAGTTTAGCAAGAAAAGCTAATGAGATGGTACGTTTAGTCAATCTTTATTCTGCATTAATTAGTACTATGATTCTGTCAATCCTCTTTAACTTGGTGCAATTGTACATTTAGGAAGAGGAGACAGGCAAAGAACCAAATCGAGCTGAACTTTTTATTGCATCAAGGACTAGATCAGATGGAAGTTTATTGAGCAACGAAGCAAGAATCATTGTGGTAAGTTGTCAGCTTTGCTTTTAGATTGATGGTTGATCTCTGTAACTTTGAACTTGTAACTTGTCTGTTTTGTAACTTGTAACTTGCTGTTTCACTATGGTCAGTTTTGCTTTTAGATTGATGGTTGATCTCTGTAACTTGTAACTTGTCTGTTTTATATGCCTGATGATCTCTGTAACTTATGAATCTCTGTTTCATTATTTTTGCAGGATAAGCTTTCCCAAGTAATGACTGAGAATATACAAGATGAAGCATCCAATACTGAGTCTAGACCATATGATGCATTTGAACAAGTGTTTGGTTCTGAGCCTACAGGTCGAGTTCGATGTGTTGGACGTGGAGTAACACCGTCCAAGTATCTTTTGGATCAGGAATCTGTGATGTCGTCTAATGCTGAGATTTTGGAGCTAAAGACCCGTTTGAAAGGACTTGAAGATAAGCTAGAAATCGTGACAGATGCTCTTTTTGTTCTTGTTAAATCGAAAACTGAAGGAAGATACTGAAGTAAGGTACTAACTCTCTTGTCTCTTGTCTCTCTCTCTCTCTTGTGTTGGAATTTGATTTGAGTAGTGTTATAGGTAGTGTTGATTTGAGTAGTGTTATAGGTAGTGTTGATTTGAGTAGTGTTATAGGTAGTGTTGATTTGAGTAGTGTTATAGGTAGTGTATAAAGCTAAGTTGTAGATTTCAGAGATACATTATAGATAGTGTTGTTGCCGTCTATAACCAAACTGAGACTACATTATATGTTTTTGTTTCAGTTCACAAGGGTACTAGAAGAAGAAGTGCATAGAAATTGGATGAGAACAAGGGTACTAGAAGAAGAAGTGCATAGAAATATGATCAGATATAGCATATCATATGTTATTATTTTTTATAGCTGAATCAGATATTCTTGTATCAGACTGTCATCAAATATTGTTTTCTATTTGACTTTGGAACATGAAAATATATAATGTATTTGGTTATTGTTCCTCATTTTTTTTACAGGTTTAATTCAGACAAAATTTAAAGACACAAATGAAACTGAAATTCAGACAAAAACATAACTAGATTTCAGACAAGTAAATGGATTCAGACAAAATATAAAGCCCATTAAAAAATTATGGCCCATATTGATTTCTGACTTTAAATTTGAAGTCACTTTTTGAAGTGTTTCTAAAAGAGTCATCATTTGTTGTATCATTTTCAAAAATGACTTTATATTGTTAGGGTCATTTAAAAACTGACTTTAGGAAACTTGAAAAATGACTTTAAATCCCTTCTTTTTTGTAGTGCTTCTTTTCTCTGTATTGATTGACTTATTCATCCATAATTTGGTGATTAACCTAATTATCTAATTAAGAGGAATCAAATTAATATATATACAAATCAAAAATAGGGAAATTTTGTACGTCAGACTTGTTATAGTTTCCGCACTCCATCCATTTTCGATATTTAAATACACGTAAAGTTTTGCCTCAAAAAAAAAAAAAAATACACGTAAAGTTTTCTTAGGAACGGTGGTAAGTCAAACGATTGCCAAACGTCTATAGCAACTTTAATACATAGTCAAAATGAATGGCACATGCCAATTTAAACTAACACTAACTCATATGTTAGTGGAATTATAACAACATATACGTGCCCCCATTTTATCTTCAAATTATGGATTCGGTGTACGAAAATAAAATTCATATATGATAAATGAAACAAAATATCATGGTTTGTTAATAATACGTTAGAATTTTTGACTACATTTCTTTTGAAAATATCAATTTAGAGTTTGCTTTTTAATTTGAAACTCTGGCTTCTTTTTGTTACCCCACAATATAGACTACGAATAAATTATGTTAATCTTAAGAAGAATTCAGGGGGAATATATACAAACAAAACAATAGTGATTAAATTAGATTTGGCGAAGCTCCACTTTAATTTATAAAATTATCTTTGACCCTAGATCCGCGATTTCGCATGTACACGAACATGTGCATAGTTGCGAAGTACCTTACCCAATGACGCCGAGTCAATAACACGTATTAACAGATATAAGAACATTACAATGAAACCTAGTAAGAAAATACATTTGTTAAAGGATTGATCAATATTCTCATTGCGATAAGATTTTTCTACCACTCAATATTCACAAAGTCAACATGAAATGTTAATATTAGATCAGAGTATTAAAAAAGTAAAATGTGTAATTTTCTTTATCAAAAAAAAAAACAAAAAACAAAATGTATAATTTTAGATGGATCTTATGATGTTAAGAATTTCTTCTAGTTAAACCATTGACTTTTGTAGAATGTCTTTTATTCATGAAACCCAAAACTCAGTTTCTGATTTTCATATGCTTTGACTTCATCCTAGTCATGTCGTGGAATGGACCTAAAGGCACACCAAACTAATTCGTATGTATGCTATAAAAAAAGAACTTTACCATATTAAATACATTAATTCAATCCAACTCAATGTAGTAATGCCGCATTACTTTTTTTCTTAAACCTTTTTCGAAAAAAAGTAATTGACTTTACAATAAAACATATTAAGATTTCGTTTAGAAGAAAGTAACGTGTGTATGTGTTGTGTCGGTGTGTACATAGTACAACGGAATTATTAAAATTATTCCTAAACTAAGAAAATTCCAACTTGCCAAGTATGCATGCTTCCTATAAAAAGAGATCACATGAGGATTCAATAATTCATTCCCAAAGAGAAGTAAAAAAAAACAATGAAGGGAGATCTAAAAAATATGTTTTACGTTGGATTGGTGGTGATGATCTATGCGTTTACGTTCATTGCACAACTAGAAGCAGCCTCGCAAACAAAGACATGTGTCCAAAGGAAAAGTCCATGTTTCCTTAAGAAGCAAACTTGCCCCAAGCAATGCCCTTCGTTTTCCCCTCCTAATGGCAGCACCAAGGCTTGTGTCATCGATTGCTTTAACCCTATTTGCAAAGCCACTTGCCGAAGTAAGTAACAATACTCTTTCTGTTTCATAATAAATGTCGTTTTAAAATTTTATTTCTTTTACAAAATGTCGTTTCATTTATTAAACTAAAAGATATAAAATTATGAATAAGCAAAATAAATCTAATTAATAAGCTAAATAATATGAATAAAACTATAGTTTAATTAGAAAGACAGACTTACATATATATAATTACATAGTTCTTTCAATATGTATAAAAAATGCTATAATGAAATGTTCTTAATAATAGCAATATAATATCTTACTGAAAATAATCATTTTGATGTAACAGATAGGAAGCCTAATTGCAACGGCAAAGGATCAGCATGCTTAGACCCACGTTTCATCGGCGGAGACGGCATCGTGTTCTACTTTCACGGCAAACGCGAAGAGCATTTTGCACTCGTCTCCGACGTTGACTTCCAAGTTAATGCACGTTTCATTGGTCTTAGACCTTCTGGTAGGGCAAGAGACTTCACATGGATCCAATCCTTGGGTCTAATCTTTGGCCCCAATAGCAAAACCTTCTCACTCGAGGCTACAAAAGCCGCGAAATGGGATCACCAGGTCGACCATTTACGTCTTTCTTTCGAGGGAAAAGAGATCTCTTTACCAAAAGGAGATTCATCAGTGTGGAGTCCTCCAGGAGACTATATAAAGATCGAGAGAACTTCAGACATAAACTCGGTGTTGGTCACGTTACAAGACATTGCCGAGATTTGGATCAATGTGGTGCCGGTAACAAAAGAAGACGACATAATCCATAAATACGGGAGACCGGAGAATGACTGTTTTGCTCATCTTGAGGTTCAGTTCCGGTTCTTGAAGTTGTCCTCAAACGTGGAGGGTGTTTTAGGAAGAACGTATAGAGAAGATTTCAAGAACCCGGCAAAACCTGGCGTGGCTATGCCGGTTGTTGGTGGAGAAGATAAATACCGAACGGGGTCACTTTTTGAAACAAGTTGTAATGCTTGTGTTTACTCGGATGGCTCAAGAAGTTTGGACAAGATAGAGCCATTGTTGCTGAATCAAAACACTGTTGATTGCACTGGTGGATCGAGCAGTGGTGTTGGAATCTTTTGCAGAAAGTAAAGAAAATTTTATTATTTACTCAAAATAAAATCATATAAAAACGATAATAATAGATCAAAAGATGTTTGAATTAATGGAGGCATTTGGAGGTTTGTACACAAATTACTGGGTGCATAACCGAATTTAAACAAATTATTTCACTGTATTCAGTCAAATTTATACTAGAAATAGTTCATCTCTTAATTTTATAGGAGTCACATAACCATCATAATTCACAAACCAACCAAACCTCTTTGAAAAATTCCAATACATACAAAATAAATAAGATTGCTAATAAATGTTTTGGTTCATCAAATGTAATGAGGATGATTTTAGAAAGATGAAAGCAAATGTCAAAACTTAAACAAATTAGGACTTATTTTGCATTGAAAAAACGTTTTGAGGCATACTAATTAATTAATACATGTGATGGACCACAAAATTATGGGAGCCATATGTCCAAATTTCATCTTGCTCGGCATAGAGTTGACCATGTGAATAGGTAAATATTTTTGTTATATTTTGTGTACCAAACATATTTTCAAAACAAATTAATTATATAAAATAGTGTTAGTTATCATGCTTACAATAAGCAATTTAATGAAAAAAATTGTTATAAAAATAGCAATGTATTTATGAGATACATGATATTTTTAAATTGAAAGAATAAAGCAAATACATTGGAAAAAGGTAAAAAAACAACTCAAATTTGCATTAGTTGGTGTACTTTTTCTTAAAGGTGCAAACCATACAAGGGTCATGTTAAAGGTGTACTTCATTACAATTGTTTTGGGCTAAATTAAGTAATAAATATTTGAATAAAATCCATTGTCAATGGAAAGAAGTATTTATTAATAATTACAAAAAATGAAATAGTTATTATATACCAAAATATGAGGATATGCCAATTTTGTCCCTATGAACTCTATCGTTGAATCTTTTTAAGATTTCATCAAATAGAATATTTTTTTTTGGCAATAATTCGAGATTTTATTTGACTTGAAATTGAGTGAGCAATATTGGTTAGTTAATTTGAAAACAAATTCATGAATTACTGGATGATTGACTTTGAAAATCTTTCTTAAAACTCCGTGGTATTGATTTGATGATATCTAAAAGGATAAACTTTCTCTAACTATTTAACACGTCAATACTCGATATTTGTACCGCGTTTCTTACCTTATAACATTGACGTTTGCAATGACCTATTTCTTGCGTCACTATTCCCTCAGTTTTATTATAAAATTCGGATTCGTACCGATTAGATTTCAATGTCTCTAGTATCTTTAATTTTTTTTGTATTCTCGTCTTCTCGGTTCTTCTACCGGAGAAAAATTATCTCTTCGTCATCAGATTTTATTTTTCTACTTTTTTCGTTCATCTTTAAGTCAAATTAACAAAATAAACACAAATTGTAAAACATATAAGGACAAATAATAAGGTTGTCATTGTTGTGCACCTCCTCGTCATTATCATCAATGGATGTGAATTTACACTTCATTTTTGTGGTTTATAGCTTTTTTCCATATGGTATTGATGTCTGGTATCGGTTATCTCATAAATTCCATATGATAAAATTTCTTGTTCAATGTTGTTGTTCATGTCCACCAAAATTACTGTAACATTTGATCTTTTCCGGCTTCAAATCTTTCAACGCCTTCTTGATGTCGAAGAAGATTGATTGTTACAGTGACTGCAATAGTAGTGAACAAAAGAATTGAGCAAGAACCTTTGTCATGCGCAACAAAATATGTTTTATGAGAAAACCGATCAAACCAAATGACATCAACAATATACGGAAACATGCTTTAGAGTACATGGTGAATGGTAATGTTATATCTATTGTTGACTACGATGATGTGAACGACAATAATAATCTTATTATTTATCCTTATATGTTTTATCATTGTGTATGTCCAATATTTTTCGAACCATCTATACTAGTTTTTCATGTATCATTCACATATTGTGATACTTATTTAAAAGAATATAATTTGTCTATTTTTTATTTAACCGCGATCAGATCCATTTGTCAAGTTTGAAACTAGCTAGCCATAAACATTCAAACTGAACTGAATCGATTTTTGGTCATTTTAGTACAGGGTTAGTTACTAGAGGTAAGCCGATCATCATGCTTTTTTTATGGGCTGGGTTATAGATTTATCAAATGGTTATCTGATATTTTAACCACAATAAACCAAAAATATATTAAAATTCCTCGAAATTCGATAGCCTAACCAAATCGAACTTTTAACTGAACTGAACTGAATATTTGTATGGATTATAAAAATGGATTAAATATTTGTTCGAATAACACTTGTAGGATATTTTAAAAACCGATTAACCAAAATGTCAAAACCGTTGACCCCGAGTAAACGAAACTCACATGCTTATTTAAAACAATTGTTATACCAGTCACAAAAATCAATTAATAAATCATAGTCGTCTATTTTTGCAAATTCTCACATCTGCATCTATATCCATATCCCGTATCCGTACCCGCATCCGCATCCGCATCCGCATCCGCATCTGCGTCCGGTTAATCGAGAGCCTTAACATTTTTTTATAGACTAGAATAACAATTAACGTATTTTACGAAGGTATAACAGAGCACTCATTGAGAAATCGTACAAGATTCAAGTGCGCGGGATAAGCTATCCTGCGCACCCACCCATTAACTAGGCGGAGCTTTAAACTGCCGACTAAAACCGAAGCTTCCAAATCCATCCGTTAAAACTGGTTTCCCGATCAAATGAACGGCCTCGATTTCTTCTTGTCCCCTTCGCCCACCGTCGATACATCCACCGGAAACAACGGCGAGGATGATGATTGGGGAGAGTTCGTCGTCTCTTCCGATGCAGATCGAAACGGTACCGATCCGTCGCCTAATCGCATCGAGTCGGAGAAGAAGAGTCAGGCGAATTATGTTACTTCTCGTGGTCCGGTGCCACTCTCTGTATTCGGAGAAGAAGAAGAAGATGATGATGAATCAGGTGCGTCGGTTCCATCGTTTGGATTCTCATTTGATTCGTTTTCCAGTAAACACAATGATGGCAACGGATCTGTGAATAGAGTAGTGAATTCGAATACGAATCCTACTGTTGGAATTAGTGGTTTGATCGCAAATCTGTATAGAGAGAACGGACATAGTGATCTGAATTTGCCAGAACGTAATCCTACGAATCTCGAAATGAATGGGAATGATTCTTATAGGAATTCAGATGGATTCGATGTAGATCTCTCGAGTTCGAATCGTAAGATCGAGAATTCAGCTGTTAGCTTGGAGACTATGAGTTGGAATCCATTGAATTTGGGTACAGAGAGGTCTGAAAAGGCGAGCAATGTGGCGAATTCAAGTACTCTTGGGGTCACATTGGATCCAGATTATTCAGATATGGGCTTTGCCGATAAAAATGACGATGATCTTGATGGTTGGGAGTTTAAGACTGCCGAGTCTATGTTTGGAACTCCAGGTGGAAGCTATAAGGTACGTTGTAATTAAGCATACGCCTTTTCCTTATCGTTCTCTATAAATTTAGTGAGGAAATTGTACTTTTTTCGTAGAGCAATTTGTATAGTCTTTTAAGATATCAAGTGCCTCTTTGTTGTGGTCTTAGACTTGGAAATATTTAGGAAGATGTAGCTTTACGTTGACAGTGTGACATAGTCAGCAAGATGTTTTAATGCCCTTTTACATAACTGTATTCAAGCAGGAGGAACGAGAGAATGCTAAAGGTGGATCTGTTGTGGTCCAGAATACAGCAGATAGTTCAGGCGTTTGGAGTTCACATACAAATGGAACAGGTCCAAATTTTGATACTGGTATAGTAGATGCAGTTAAGTTAGTTTCTGAACGGGAAAACGGAGATGATGACCCTTGGGACAATGGTGGATGGGAGTTTAAGGTTGCTGAAGCAGGAGAGCCGAAGAAAGATTTAACAAACATGGTAAACGCCTCATTTCATAAAAACAATCCTTCATTGGCTGAGGGTACAAGCTTTACTTGCCATCTGTTTTCAGGAATCTAACGGCTGGGAGTTCGGATTTGGTTTTGAACCTGTTTCTAAAATCGAAACAACCAACTCTTTTCAATCAAACGATGAGAGAGAGACGCAAAAGATGGAAAATGGCTCGATTTCCTTTCCAAGCAATGGAGATGTGAATTCTGGAGGAACTTCTTGGGCCTTTAAGCAGCCATCTTTGGAAACTGGAAACGAGAAAGAGGTAATGTCTCTTTTAATCTGCATAGGAATTGATTCTGAATGTAGATATTATGTGGTGTTTCTTTTTTCCAGCACCAAATTGGGCTTGTCAGATTTTTGTCTGCTGGATTTGAAATGAATAGTTCTGACTTTTGATATATCGATACTACTAAATGTTTTGTTTGACACACTGTTCATGTGTAACTTTGCTTAACCTGCGGTTGGAATCTTACTACATCGTATTGAACACTAATTTGGTAAAAACATATAAAACTGCATCTAAAATTTGCCTATGTTTATATTTCTTTTATGTTATCCGAAGCTGAAACCTCTATATACATTGTCTAGCTTAATGGCACTGCCTTTTCATCTTCTTGTTTTTGTACTTACCTGTACTCAGGAAAAGGAAGTGCAGACAGGCAAGCCCAAGGGAGTCTTGCCATTGTCCTTTTTCGAGGATGTGAAATCGGAAACCTCTGACACTTTGGTTCATGAAGATAATTTTGTTTTAGCCAGCGATTTTCCTGTGAGAGAGAAAACTAAGGCTCCAAGTCCAACTGTGTCCATTAGTGACTTAATATCAAGTTTATACAGTCAGGTGGAGGAGAAGAATGCTGTTAATATTTCAGAAAAGTCTGCAACTGATTCTAACGTAGTAAATAGTGACGGTGATTCATGGGAGTTTCAGGGCCCCAAAAAGCCCATAACAGATTCGGGCATAGCAGAAGGTACTGATGATTTTGACAGTACTTGGGAGTTTCAAGGTCCTTCTCCAGCTTTGAAAAACTCTGATGTTACAGAAGGTGTCGATGAGTTTGACGATGATTCCTGGGAGTTTCAAGGTCCAACACAGCCTGTGAAAGATTCCACGTCGAGGATGGGAGATAATGGTTCATGGGAATATACACATAGTTCTGTGGAAAATGAAGATGGAAATCGATCCTCTTTTCCAAATGGTTTTAGAGAATTGCATGAAAATCCAGTAATTCGGATAGAACCTAATGATTACCAGGATCTCTTTCATAAGCTGAAGATTGAATTATACCACATTGCTCTGAACCATCTCGAGAAATTAAAGGTCAGTAGACTTTTGTGTCTGGACCTTTCCCTGCATAACACTTTCTTTGTACATCCCATATTTTTTATTTTTGTTACATCATTTAGACTTTTGGATATTGAAGGAAGCTCGTGACTTGGCTGCTGATTCTGATGAAGTCCTTGAAGTTCAAAAATGCGACAGTGAAATCGAGGTAAGTATATTCGATGATTTCCTTAATTTTCCTTAAACGAATCGTAGGAATGCTTCAGAGTGAGTTAGTTATTGTGTTTCTCTTCTAGGATCTGCAAAACTTGCTGAACGATGATGTTTTGATCAGTGGAGTCAACTTAGAAAGTCTCCAACCAAGATCCTCTGGCATTACTGAGCTTATTAAAGTTATCCAGGAGCCAAAGTTTCGACCACTTGATTCAGAAGATCTCCTGACAGAGAGATTGTTATCAGTTAAGTTCTGTTGGAGTTCTCGGTGCCCTGTATATTGAGATGAATGGTTTTAACGTGAAATATTTACACTGAAGATATAATTAACATATTTTCATAGGCAGAGAAGGACTGGAAATCAACAATCGAACTACTCAAACACGCTACGCTGACCCTGAAGATCCTAAACTTGGGTTCACCTGAGCAACAGTCGAAATACGCTTCAACTTGGTTTGAAATTGCTTCGGCCTGTGCTCAAGAATTGCGACATGCTGCATCCATTTGGAAGCAGGTGATTAAATACGATGTTCAAGAAGAAATCCTATCTAAACCTCAAGGTACCAACCATTACCCTATAAATCCTCTTGCGTGGAGGCCATTTTTAACCGTGACTTATTCTTATTCTGTGTGCCCAGGGAAGAGCTATGCTCTCTCAGTGGGAGAAATTTACAGAGTAGTAAAAATTCTGAGAGCATCAACCAGATTATATAAACCATGGATTTTATTAGTTCCAACATCATCCAATGTGTTGGCTGTTCTGGACGAGTGTGTGAAGTTATGGTTGAGCTCTGGAATAGTAGAAGCTCTGCTGAATAGTTTCAACCGTCAAGAACTTGACCATGACGATTCTGCCGATCAACTTCTAGAATCAATAAAGTATATAAACGAAGTTGACGCTTCCACGCTTCACACCTGCATAACCTCAGCCACATCACCCAAATGCTACATCTCTGGGCTAAATACCGACATAGTAACAGGTACGCTGATTCTAGCAATTGCATTTAGAAATATCATCTAGACCTAAAGGAAGCAATTGTTCATGAACTGAAACTCTGATTGCTTATTCCACTTGGATCTATGAAGCAGGAATCAAGACGGTGGAGTGGAACGGAGAGCATTACTTGCTACCACTTGCGAATCTATGGGCTAATCTGATCAGCCGCGATCCACCGAACTTTCCTGGCCACCATTTTCCTATTCTCTCTTAGAAGAAAGAAGAAACCTACACTACACGCATAACTCACCCGGCAAGCTATTCTCACTGCAGAGCATTTTCGACCAAAACATATATCCTTCCATACACCTATACTTATTTGTTTATAATGTTTGATTTTGTTTTGGTGTTTGTATTGTAATTTATAACGAATGGGTTTGGTTTCATTAATTGAGCACATTCCCAGGTTTTACAGAGGATATATTTTTGTATCGAATGAAGCAATAAGTCAGTATAATGATTTCATTTATTTTTACAATGTCACAGTAAGATCTTTCCAACGCTAATGGTGTTCTGAGGTTGCAGGGATTCACATGAAGTGGAAACAAGGAATCTGGAAGCATAAAGTGGCATCTAAATCAAAATACTTTCTATGCAGGAACTTTTTTTTCCCACCACACCACTACATACAACAATTTATATATGATAAACAAAAAGGCGAATTCATCAATGTCCTCCACCGATTCCGCCGCAATGGACGGCCAACCACCGTGGAAGAAGAAGCAGAAGGAGGTGAAAGAGCAAACCTCAAATCCTTCACTTCCAAATGATCTAGTAATAACCTGCTTAGCTCGCGTCTCGAGATTGTCTTACCCAAATCTCTCCTTAGTCTCCAAAAACTTCCGCTCAATCATTGCTTCACCGGAGCTTTACCAAACCCGAACTCTCTTAGGACTCACCGAGAATTTACTCTATGTGTGCTTATTCTTCCCTCACGAAGCTAATCCTCGCTGGTTCATTCTCAAACCTAATCAAACCCTAACCAATCACACCACTAAGAAAAAGACGAAGAAGAAGAAGAAGGATTCAAGAAGTGGCAATCGTTTAGCTTCAATCACAATTCTCAATTCTCCTACAGTGGAATGGTCAGGTCTTATAGCTGTTGGTTCTAATCTCTACGCCATTAGCAAAGACATTGAAGAAGCTCCTGACTCTAACATTTGGTTTCTTGATTGTCGAACTCATACTTGGCTTGAAGCTCCAAGAATGCGATTATCTCACCCGGATGGTGAATTTGAAAGGAAGATGTATTTACCAGTAAGTTCTGAGAATCCAGATTCTTTGAAATGTGTTGAAGTATACAACACAAAGACTCAGACTTGGAAACCTGTACCACCCGAAACATTGCGATACGAATTCGGGAATATACAAGGAAAGATTTACCTTAGACTTGATGAAGTGTTTGGTGTAGCTTTTAAGCCAAAGGATTTGAAATGGGAATTGGTAGGATTGGATGTAGATTCAGATAAGTGTCCTGTTTGTATGATAGAGAACATAACCTATTGTTATAACAATGAGTTTTTATGGAAAAAGTTTAGAACTGGGGGATCAATTTGGAGAAGAGTAGCGGGTTTAGAAGGGCTACCGAAGTTTGCTAGTTATTGTACTGTTAGATTGGCGGATTACGGTGGTAAGTTGGTGGTTTTTTGGGACAAGTATGTGCCTGCTAGTGGGTATAAGAAGAAGATGATTTGGTGTGCAGAGATTTCGCTTGAAATACGCAGTGGTGAAGAGATTTGGGGGAAGGTTGAGTGGTTTGATGCGGTGCTTACAGTTCCTAAGTCTTATAAATTCGTGAGTGCTATCGCTGCTACTCTTTGAATTATGATGTCACAGGTTTGAACCTAATGAATCAAGTTATCTAGGTTTCTTTTTGTTTTAGTATGTCACTTTTTGAGGAATGTCTTGTTTTTTTAGCGAAATGCAATTGACATTGTTTCCGCTTGTAAAGCATCTGCATTCACTTGCTTGTAGATGATTAAGCCTATTTTGTGACTCTCTCTTTGATAAGCCTTTTGATGCCAAATCCTTTCCGCTACTGTTTGATGAATGGCTATTGAGACAAGCGGGTAATGTCGTTTTTGTATGTGTTACAAAACGCCTATATATATATATATATATATATATATATTGTTTCACTTCTAGACATATGCACTCACTTGTAGACTGATTTAGCTTACTTTGTCTATAATTTTTTTTTGTTTCTTGAAGACTCATTGCAAATTTTGAGGTCTCAGCCTCGTAAAGCTTCATCTATTTCTCTACTTCAAGTAACTGTTTTCAGAGAATATGTATGTGTTGTATTGTCAGTGATTCAGAAGGAAACTTGCTTGCTTATCTGAGTTTTGCAAAAATAGGAACTGTACTTATCACCTCTAGAAGCAGAAGCGAAAGCCCGGTTACATACGATGCAGCTAACGTGGATCAATATGGAGGGTGAATGTAGTTAACTTCATTATCTGATTCAAGGAAAGGGAAAAGACTACAAGTTTGATAGGAATTTCACAAAATGCTTAGCCCTAAATAATACATAAGTTTTACAAAACATCGATCATCTTCAATATACATATTATAGAAACATTCATGTGGAAGATAAGTCCATTCTCAGCTTCTTCTTCTTATCTACGGAGCTGCGGAATCCCTTTGCTTGTTTACTCTCACTTCCTTAGCTACTTTCCCTGCCATCTCCACCATTTTCTTCTGGGATTTTGCCATTTCACCAGAAACTTCTTTAAGACTTGCTGCAAATTCCGAGGTCTCAGCCTCGCAAAGCTTCACCTGTTTCTCTACTTCAAGTAGCTGCTTCTTGAGATTATGTGCTCTACCACGAAGCGACTCTAATTGTTTGTAGGAACCGGTATAGGCAGTCAACGCTTCAACATGTTTCATAGATATACTCTCGAAACAGAGCTTCTCTGAGTCATATTGCTCAATAAGTTCCATCATGGAGGAGCTACCTGAAAATGAGGCCTCGGTTTCACCAGATATCGTAGCTCCTTGATGTAAATGCTCAGGTTTTTTGCTACCATTCAAAACTGGATCGCTTTTGTTCTGAGAATGACCCGCTACTCCCTCCGTTGCATAACTGTCTTTACCACACAAAGCCTCCACTTGAGGATCAAGATGTTTAGGGGCAACTGAAGGGAGTACTTGCTCTTCCGTCTCAAGGCGAACCGCATCGTCATATAGTGTAATCAAATCAAATGAAGGGACAATGCCTAGCACAAAAAAACATACAGGAATTATAAGCACTCAAATTAGTGACTGCCAAAATGTAAAACAACTCACTTCATATAAAGAAACAGAGAAATACCATTTGCAGAGGCAACTACACCGTTGGAGACCGTATCTTGATTGTTGAAACCTGCGAAAACCGGAAGCGGTCCTTTTCCCACAGTGACTGCATTCATTGGAAGAGTATCAACAACTCTGTTTCCAAGAGTCGTAGACTCACTAGATGAAGTTGGATTCAATTCTGATTCAACCACAACTCCAAGTCTGTTCCTTTTCACATTACCATCAGAATCCAACTCGGTTTCGTGTAGCAAACTCTCATCAAAACCCGAAAAGCCATCATTCTCTACTTGTTCAGATTCAGATTGAATTTGAACATCATCCTCCCATTTAAAGAATCCACAATCCCCAAAACCCTTAAAAAAAAAAAAAAATCAAAGAAACAACTTTTCAAATCATAATCCGAAGTATGTAATGAAGATGAGTTTAGGTTTTGTCTTAACCTTCTTAACGCAGCAAACAAAGTAAGAACGTTGAGCGTTTGGTCCGTCGATGACTGTTACTCTTTTACAAGGTCCTGCGCCACAAGGACAAGTAGGGAGATCGGAGATTGGCTCCGATTTGATACTCACTTGATCACACCACTTAAAAAATTTACAGCTTGGGCATGTGTAGAATCTCCTGTTTGGGTTTTTCTCAGTTTTGGAAGTCAAAATGTTGCAAGCTCCGGCGTTACATGGACAGTGAATGACGGGCAGAGAAGCGGCGGCGGCCGCGGAGGTGGGTTTCGTAGTGGTTTTGAGAGGACAGTTGTTGGCCCAGTGGCCTGGTTGATGACAACGGAAGCAATTGCCAGTTGACATGGCTGATCGGAGGAAGTAATCGTCGTCTTGCTTCTCTAACACTTGTCCTCTTTTAAATTTTCTTTTTGTTTTTGATTTAACCAAAAAAAAAACGAAAAAGTCAAGACATGTGATTAGAGACAAGACAGGTGAATAGAGTTGTTCTCGATTTGTGGGAGCTATTTTTAATAATAAGTCACAACGGTCGTTAAAACTTAAAACACATAATAACTGTACGCAATAGTAGATTAGGGCCTTAATACTTAAAGTGGATCATTGATATTAGTTAAAGTGGATCATTGATATTTGATAGATATATACTCCCTTTGTATCAAAAAGATTGATTTTATAGAGTGAGCACGGATGGATCATTATGGATAAAGAAATCCCTATTTTGCTGGGATTGAAAAGTTCTCGTCGGGGATTATCATCCCTGCAAACAGAATTTGAAACCCTTCTTTGGGCAATGGATTGCCTAATCTCAGAATCGAAGACGAGTTTTATCTTCGCCACAGATTGTTCCGAGCTAATTTCCATTTTGGATAACTCTTCTGATTGGCCTACCTTAGCAGTTGAATTACAAGATGGTTTCTTTTCCTTTTTTCTCTATTAGGTTTATTCCACGTTGTAACAATACCCGTGCCGATTATCTTGCAAAAAAAGGCACGAGCACGAAGTTCTTTATTCTCTCATGTAAGCACATCGGCTCCGGATTTGCTCTCTTTAGAGTAAAGTCTCCGTCCGATTACTTAATAAAATGGTGTTTGGCGAAAAAAATTAAAAAATAGAGTTTTCACACTAATTAAGAAAAATATTTAATGTTTAGTTATATTTATTCATACTAAACCATTTCTCATAACTATTAACTAATAGTAATTCATTAAATTTTAAAATTCTCAATTAATGATTCTTGAAATTTACAATTTATTAACATTAATTGATAAAAATTTACAGAAAATCAATCTTTTTGATACAAATATAAAACCTCAAAAAATCATTCTTTATAATACAGAGGAAGTAGTTTTAATTTATTGGGTGGTTGGTTGAGGTATATTCAAAAAATCATTCTTTATGATACAGAGGGAGTGGTTTTAATTTCTTTGGTGGAAATCTTTTTGTCAAGAATTTTTTTGGCAGGAAACTTTTATCGGGATTTTTTTTTGGCGGGAAAATTTTGGTCAGAAAGATTTTTGTCGGGAAAATCCACTTTTGTCATTTTGTTGAGTTTATTATTTTTCAAGTAAGGGTAAAATGCTTATTAAAAATTGAAAGAGAACATACTTGAAAATGGCTAAAAAATGAAGTATTTTTGAAATGGGGTATCAAAGAAAAGGTATTTATAACAATTTTTCTACAATATAAACAAAGTTATATATCGGTTTGGGTTTATAAGGGAGTGTATGGGGTTAGAGTTTACAATTAAAAAAGGTCAAAAATATCGATTTGGGTTTATAAAGAAAAGTTCGAGTTTAGAATTATTAATAGATATACCCTAACCGTCCTTTCTAAACCCAAACCGTCCTTTCTATACCCAAACCGATTTATAATTTAGTTTATAATAGTAACATAAAATCCTAACCTCTTTCTTATAAACCCAAAGCAACATATAAACTCTAACTTTAATAGTATATTGTTATATAATTTATTTTATTGATTTATGTTAACTTCTTTTATATAGATAATATTATTTTTTTATTTTGTTAATTTTTATTAGGCGGCAGATTCTAATTTATTAGAAAAAGAGTGTGTGAATAAAAGGGTTCATTCCTAAGAGTAAACCCAAAAATCTATATTAGTATTTTTGAAGTACATTTTGTATCGGATGGGTTAAAAATTTATCCGAGATTTTTGGTACCCGACCTTGTACAAAATTACTTCAAACTCTTACAGCATATATTCCATATTTGTTTTTGGATCGGGTTATAAGAAACCGAGCTCTTACACCAGATATTTCATATTTAACAATATAGATATTTAGAATATTTACTTAAGAATTAAAATTATGATTATCCTATCATCTTTGTTTGATTTTTTTTAACTGTTTTCAATCATCATCTACATATACATTTTTACAGGGTTTTTTTGCATTTAATCATTTTGGATCCGGGTTTTACCCGGTTTAAACCTATTCGGATCTAGAATAAGATATTTAAGGAAGTTTGTAATAAAAACGACATTAATTAGTGATAAAATATCAACTAACAGATTTAGGAAATAACAATAAATTGAAATTTATTCGTTTTCTTAGCCTAATTAATAGTCGGAGATCTCTTTAATTTCTAATAACTCACCACATTTAATTTCAAAGATTTCTTCCCTCCAATCACTCCACAAAAATTCCCTAAAATATCTCCAAAATTAGTCGACGAATCTTTTCTATAAACTACAAATCCAATATTTCTTCAATCATTTGATTACCACCAACTTACCATATTTAATAACTCACCACATTCAATTTCAAATATTTATTCCCTTCAATATCTCCATAAAAACCGTTTAAAGTAACATATTTATAACTAATTAAGACGCATAATACTGGCATATTCCAAACAAAACTAACAAATTCAAAGATTTTCTCCTTAATATATTGATTCACGGAATATTTGATAGTTAATTCCTATGAATTACTAACCTAATTATTTTATCCTATAAATACTCTACGTCTAAACACCATTTTCTGTCACCAAACTCAAAAGCTTTGACGACAAAAAAAAAAAAAAAAAAAAAAAAAACTCAAAAGCTCTCAATTCCTTTATCATATTACACATACCTTATTTCTAGACTAATGAGAAAGTAAGTTTCCATGTACTACTTTTTTCTTATTAACCAACTTCATATGTTGTATGTGCTAGGGGGCAAAGATAAATCTTTCAGTTGCCAGCTTCATCTTCGTGTTATGGATTTATCAGTTGAAATTATAATTACTTGATCTTTATACGAGGAATAGCGAGAAAATCAGGTAGCTTGCATCTATCTTTTACCACTTTTGAGGAAATTCTAAATGATCCATTGTGTATAAGTTTACAATCGAAACAAAAATCGAAAAAGAGAATGAAAATGGTCATGGTTCTCTTGACTGCATCATGGTCACGACTCTCTTCTTCTCACTTCTCTTTTGCCCCGACGGTACCGCTTCTACCTACGGCAATTAGTTGGGCCATCTTGGGCTACTACTTTGCTTGGGTTGGGCTATTTATACATCACACTTATTTCCTCTATTTATCAGTCTAATAATACTTCAAAATTTTATAATTGAGAAAATTGTAATACCATGTTATATTATTTATGATACAAAATGCATAAATATAATTTTGTTTGTGTTCTACTACGGGTTAAATCCTAGAGAATGCCATTACTACAATTTTTTTATCTATTAGTTAATATAAAAAAAAACTTTATCTATATAAAAATATATATTTTATCTATAATATTCACATTAACTAATAATACAAAATATGAATACATATTCAATATTGTTAATTTTCTTTTTCATTTTAAATATTTATAATTTTAAGAATTTTATAAACTTTCAAATAAAATAAATATTTGAGTTTTAAGGAAATTCTAAGAAATTTAAACATTATAAATATTTACAAAAGATATTAATACGGAACGATATATTACGGGTGAAATCCTAGATATAACAAACAAAAGACTATTTGAATTTTGGGTCGATATTATTTTATTAGAAAATGACAAAATGATGTATATTTCATGGGACAGGTTTATATGGTCGGACGAGGTTGGGTCGATATTAATACAGTATGATATACTACACGTAAAATCCTAGAATTGACAATCAAAATATAACTATACAATCTTAAACACTAAACAAACAATATTAACAAAACAAATAAAAAATTTCATTTTAATTTTTTAGTTATAAAATATCGTCATGCGGTGTACCATACATTTAAATCAAACAAAATAATAATATATATCTATAGATCATCTTAAAAAAATTTAATTTTATTATTTAGTAAAATTATAGGCCCGCGGTGTACCGCGGGTTAACATCTAGTATAATACATAAAGTTAATAAAGATCTCAATTTTTTTATCCATATATTATGATTCAAAATTTTAAAAATGGACAGATATTACTTAATTAATAAAAAAAAATATGGGTGTTCAACGTCCAACATCGGCTAAAATACTTAGACAATGATTCAGAGTCATATTATAAATAAGATCAAAATAATCCAAATTCGAATGAGCAGCAAACTTAACTTAACAAGCATCCAAATTTAAAAGTTTGTGTACAGTTTAATTCGTTTTTTAGTTACACTGTTTAATTTTACCGAAAATATTAAATTTTAAAATTTAAATCAATAAAAAAATTTATAATTTTATGAACATTTGAACGTATAAAAAAATTAAATAACACGGGACATGTTATATTGCGAGACGGGGTAATATGGTGGGACAAGTTTGAATCAACATTAATAAAAATTTAAAATATCATTAATCCGTCACTTCAATACGGGTTAAATCCTTTTTTTTTTTTAACACCATCAATATTAGACATATCGAATCAGCCTGATTTAGATAAGATTGTATAAAACTAAAAATATCATGTGGTATATCATCACTTAATAACTATTGTAAACTATAAAATATAAAGGTCTTATAAAATAATACAATTTGCAAACTTTTTTATATATACAAAATATCATTAACTTTTAAAAAATCACTACTTTTAGAAAACAAATCGTCATACGGTTAACCGCTGGTTAAAATCTAGTTTTCCTTATTAATAGGTATGTCGTCTGGTTTGTCCGGTTTGGCTCGGCCAAAACTCGTAAAGGTCTCATATATTTGAGTTTAACCGGTTTGGTGCAAAACTTCTAAGTTGAGTAACATAGTATAAAGATCTTTGACGGTTAATTCTATACCCTAGGATTAATTGCTTATTCGTGTTTCGTAGTTGAGAACTAGATCGAAAACATAAACTAGATCCTTACTTTAATTAGTCGAAAACCATGATATCCTGAGAAATTCTAGAACGCTCAATGTCTTAGTCCATAGCTTACAATTGACGTTTACTTACTTGTTTCTTTGCTTAGTCATTAGAAACCCAAAACCAAAACCTCAAAGTTTAGTTTTGTTTAGCCAAATTTTCTTATCTAAATTTATTTTCTATAGCTATCATTCTTTGTGGAATCGATCCTTAAATACTACTTCTTGAGACGAAATTAATCGCACATGATCACCTTCTAAATCTTCTTTTACTTTATTGCCTTCTAAATCTATCTCGTCATCAACATATAAAAATAAAATTTAAATTTGGTTGAATTTGGACATATATAAATCATATAAAATATCATAGATAAAAGATCTTAAAAATATTAAGTAAATATGAATGACATTATTACCTAATTCATCCAATAAGTCCTTGTAAAAATCAATATTTCAAGATATGTAGAAGCCAATTTCTATGCTTTTTCAAAACATGCGCACCAATACTAAATACCGAATTTGTTTTTTTTTTTTTTTTTTTTTCTGTAGTGTAATCGTAGAGGTTATAATGATAACATTGTGTAAAATTTGTTAGAATATGGAATATTTTTAAATCTTTTTGATAAATTCTAAATTATGCTGTAAATATATATTTTCTATTCTAAAAAATATATGGTCACTATAAAGCGATAAGTCCAAATTTCAATTTCTCCAATTCTAATCCTTGTTCTTTTCGTGCAGTATTAGTGAAACAAAATTCATTATATATATATATATATATCCTATACTATTATTTGGGGAGTACACTTTATAAGATACCCTTAACTAACCTTCCCTTTTGTAAGAATTTACTTAAGAATGCCATTACAAAAATCTTCTTTTAGAACAAATTTCATTCAATTTATTAAGGATAAACAAGTAAAAAACTAATTTATGTCATTTAATTAATTTAATTAAATTATAAAACGAAAATTTGTTATTTTTTTTTTTAATGACCAATCAAAATGAACATATAAGATTTGATATCTAACTTACCATATTAATTTGTTATTAATCATTAAACTTCACCTCTCATCTTAATATGATTATATTAATATGAAACAAATAAATCATCATATCATCTACATAATAAAAAAAAGTAATTTTTTTTCTGCATATGCCAAGATTTGAATTTTTAAAAACGCATATAAATTGTTCAATCTATAAAGGAAACAATTAAACGGGTCAAAAATTCAGACTTGAGTAATATATTTCTTTTACACAAAAATAAAGTCAACAAAAATTCCGACTGAGCAACGGGTCAGAATTTGAATATTTATATTCGATTTCACACATTTATTTTTTTGAAATGTATAATTTTATATACTACAATAAAAATTTAAATATTTTAATTTGCAACATTTAAAATAAGTTTTACTTGATATTTTTAGAGAATATCATCAATACTTAATAGTTCAAAAAGTTAAAAATTATAAATACTCTAATTTGATTATTTTTAAAAATATATATAATAGGTAGCGGGTTAAATATAATATATTATATGATGAAATGAGTTTTGATCCTTATAACTATTTGAATAGTTATATTTAATTTCATATAATTTGTTTTTTGAAATTCATAATTTTATAAACTACAAAAAAAAATTAAAGATTTTAATTTGGAATATTTAAAAATAGTGTAGAACATTTAAATATGGTTTGACACCTCTAAATATTTGAAAATTTGATTCCGCAAGCAATTTTAGAATTAACGAATAATATATTTTGCACGTAATATTTTAAAATGAAATATTGAGATTCTAAAATAAAATAATAGACTCCACGCACGGGTTGATTTTGGTATTATTATATACTAAATATATATTTATAACATATTCGATTATGCGAATAATTGGTAAATTCCGTAATTATAAATCTCAAACAAATTCTGTAATTAGATTAGCTCAAACAAATCTCTATTTCAACAACCAAAGAATTATAAATTGAAAAAGAATTTTCTAAATTAATTCAAAATAATAGCTAATTTTCTTAATTAATTCAAAAATAATCTATGTTTTATATGCGATTCATTTATGATATTTTAATTTTTGATCTAACTGAAATATATGCAATCCTATTTTGTGGTTGTTAACATAAATGAACTCATTGTTCAAAAAATATTACTTTTTAAAAAATAAAATTATTTTCCGTTTTCATATCTTAATAAAAAAATTATCCATAATTGATTATTATAGAAAAAATTATATATTTATTCTAATATTATATATAGGGACTGATAAAAAAATTAATATTTTTCACTTACTATTATAATATATTAAAACTTAGTTCTAATATATATATTATATAAATTTTGTAATAAATAAAATTTAACCCGTACTAAAAGTACGGGTGATGATCTAGTATATATATATAATCATAATATTATAAGGTGACCAATATTTTACTCTGCAATCTTCATCATCTTCCTCGTTAGCTTCCATTGAGATAGGTATCATCTTCTAGCCACTTCTTTTCCGTTTGGATTCGTTGGATCATATTCGATTCCAATAATCTCTTCTTTGGTTTCTCTATTTTTTTTTGTTCTAGGGTTCCCATGGATTCAGGTTCAAGTTCCTATGTTTCCGATGTAACTCTTCTTTCTATTCATATTTTTTGTTTTTTACCTTTTCTGTATGATAAAATTAATAAACTTATGTTAGAGTAGCATAGTCCTTGGATTGATTTTTACATTTTCTTGTATATATATTGATTTTTAGGAGCGAGCCATGAAGGAATTGGTTAAAAACCTAACTACAGATCCTGAATTTAGCCACTTAAGTCAGCAGCTACAAGAAGTAAACAGTGAGTCACCAGAACGGTACACCAACAAAATACAGAACATGATTGAGTGCTACCGTAAGCACTGGGTGAAGGTAGTACGTAGTAGTAGTGGTGATATAAGCTCTTTCCGAGGCGGCATGAACCTGACAATTGAATCTTTTGTTTGTTTGTTTTGTCTCAGTTTCCGCAATTGTCTCGGCCTCTGGAGACTCGCGGGAACCCTAGAGCATTAGAGAATTATGAAGAGCTTATTGAGCAACTGAAAAAAGATTCAGAGTTGGAACCTATACTAGCTGAGATAAATGCTAATGGTCCCGCTGCTTTGTTGAAGTACGTGTTGTATAACTCATTAGACACTATTTAGGTTTTATTTCTGTGTATGATTTAAGGAAATTTTTTCTTGTGGTTAGGTTCTCGGATGATGAAGACGTGTTGAAAAAGATAAGTAAAGCAATGGTTATTGTTGATCATGAGACTGCTACTCTTGGTAATGTGGAGGTAAACTGCTTCCTCCTAAATCTTATCTTTAATCGGTATTATTTCCCAAGGGTAGCGCGTCTAGCGTGTAAACTAACTGTGAATTGATTTCGTTAACCAATCAGGGTATGAAAACTGCGTCGGCATCGGGTGGTAACGAAGTATCTGAGGGAAGGAAAGCATTGGAGATTATACTTGAGTATGAAAAGGTATGTCAATCTCTTACCAACTACAAACCGTTCGACATAACTGAAATCTTTACGAAACAATAAAGAAGGAAAGTTCACAATTACAATCAATCGATCAGCCCTTACATACGCGGGTTTTGGACCTAACTTACCATGGTTAATTTTTTTTCCTAGATGAAATGTATTAAAGTTGTACTGGATGAAGAAAGTGTGTTCAAAAGGCTGGATGAAGCAATAAGTATTGTTCATAAGAGTGCTGCTTTTGGTGATGTGGAGGTAAACTTCTTCCTACTATCTTAATGTCTCTACTTGAATCTTATCCTTAGTTGGTATGTAGTTTGTAGACTCACTGTGAATCAATCAGGGTCTAAAAACTGCGTTGGCTACTGCTAACAAAGATGAAGAAGACTCCGAGGGAAGGACAGCTCTGCATTTGGCATGCTCTTATGGCAAGGTATGTCAATCGCTTTAAACATATCTTAGCGCGGGTTTGGACCCCACTTACATTGGTTGAGTCTCTGTTTCCTAGGTGAAATGTGCTAAAGTTCTTCTGGATGCTGGAGCAAATCTCCATGCGGTTGACAAAAACAACAACACACCGTTGCACTATGCTGCTAATTGTGGGAGGAAAAGGTGTATAAGACTTCTACTCAAGAAGGGTGCTAAAGTGTAAGTTTGCAACAAAAGAAAAATCTGTCTCAAACAACTTAAAATGGTTCTATATATAAGACTCATTGTTTAATGTGGCTACTTTTGTTTGTAGCACTCTGCAAAACATGAACGGCAAAACCCCCATTGATTTGGCTAGGCTTAACTATAAGCTCGATGCGGTGAACCTGCTTGAGAAGGACGCTTGCCTTTGAGAGCTTTGAGAGTATTTTGTCTTGTGACTCCCGAAATGCTTATGTTGGTGTTAGGATTTTAGTGCATGTATTGGGTTTAGAGTTTGAGAACATTTTATCTTTGTGACTCTTGACACTTGAGATATATTTTGTCAAAAGAGAGAATTATAAAAGTGGCTGTAAGAAATCATTAGAGAGATAACTAAGTGGTTCGTATTTTTTGTGTCCTACGCATCAAATTCTCAAGAATTTGGCTACACAAAAACCTATCATAAGCAACAATGATAGATGTTTGACAAATATAAAAAACACTTCCACTTGCAGTTGGTCATATGCGTTTCTAATTGGAACGGTAAGTGTAACGAGAAATGACGCCAAATAAAAACCTAGAAACAGAAGAATCCCATAAGAGTCCAATCTCGTCTCTTTTCTTCGAGCCAGTCACCCGTTAAAACAAACTTGTTGTGTAATGCCAGACGCAGCTTATATTGAAAAATATTTGTTTGAGCCCCTTTTAAAGTTTATTTCTGAAAAATGGACCCTAATATACACATTTAAATGCCAAACTTAGTGATGTCACATGCTTCTGGAATATGTCAGAAAAAGCATCGGACTCTTGGAACTGGAAGTGCCTTTTGAGGCTGCGTGGTGTTGCTGAGGGATTCATAAAATGCAACATTGGTAACGGCCTACATGCAAGCTTCTGGTTTGATAACTGGACCCCATTCGGCCCGCTCATCAAGTTCATTGGTCTAAATGGTCCTAGAGATTTGAGAGTGGCTCTTAATGCTAAAGTTTCTGATGTGTGTAATTCCAATGGTTGGGTTATTGCTGATCCAAGATCTGAACAAGCTCTCAGCCTCCATGTTCACCTAACAAACATAATTCTGCCTAGTGCTGCACAAGGTGGGGATACTTATGACTGGGTAGTGGAACACACCAACTGCAACGGCTTCTCATCAGCCAGATCTTGGGCTGCTCTTCGACCTCGCGCTACTTTAGTGAACTGGGCGGATATTGTCTGGTTCAAAGGGAACACACCCAAACATGCATTCAATATGTGGATTGCGAACCTAGACAGACTTCCAACCAAGTCAAGACTCGAGAGATGGGGTATGCAAATCATCACTACCTGCGGGCTCTGTGGTTTACACTCCGAAACGAGAGACCACCTGTTTCTTAATTGTGATTTTGCGGTGTACATTTGGAATGCTGTTTTTAGGAGACTTGACCAGCCCTCCATCACTTTCGGATCGTGGCAGCAGCTCCTCTCCTGGATGAAGAGGAAATCTGAAAGATCACCACCAACTTTGCGCAAACTGATAACACATTCTGTTGTTTATGCTATTTGGAGACAGTGTAACAATCTCCAGCACAATCAGCTACAGGTGCTCCCTTCTGTTGTCTTTAGAGACATAGACCGTGAGATCAAAAATTCGATCACTGCCCGAAGACTCAATAAGCGTTTCCGGATGCTTATGCAGCTTTGGCTCCACTGATTCTGGCCTTTGTTTAGAAAATCATTTGCTTTCTTGTTTTTACCTTTTTTGCCAAGAAACCAAAACTGGTTGATCACTATGTAATACCAATCTCTTCATTAATATGATATTTGCACTTTAGCAAAAAAAAAAAAAATATATACACATTTAAATGTTTAGAAATTAGGCTATATTTAAAATATTTAAAATAAAATGGACCCTTAAACATAAGCAAATTTTTAAAAAATTTGGTGGTCTTATGGCCTCATGGGTCACTGCCCCTACGTACCTATTTAGATCGGGCCTGATTGGTACCTATGAAAGATGTTTACGTGACGTCTAAATGGCTAAAATATTTTATTTTTGGCGCAATGTTTATAAAGAAAAACCCATAATTTTTGTTAGCGATGAGCAGATGCAAAAAAAAAAAAAAAAAAATTTGGGTTTGTTAAGCATTTTCTGTTCTTCCTTAATCAAAATTAGTTTTGACATATATTTCAAAATTATAAAAAATTATAATACAAAAACTAGTTTCTTTGTTTTGGTCATACCAAAATTATACTAGTTTCTGTATTTCTCTTTTCATCAAGAATATTTTTAGTATATTTCTATTTAAATTGTGAATGAAATATTAACGAGTATATCTATGATATTTCATAGTATAATGGCTTCCACTCTCTCTTTCTCTGCAATAATAATTCGGATTTAATCTTTTAGTTTATTATTTGAAGGCAGTAATGTTAAATAATTGAAAATAGATTATTGTATTTTTTATTAGTATTGATGGTATATGATATGCACAGAATCATAGTACTATGTAGACATTTTTTTTTCACCTAAAAATAGAAGGGTCAAAACTTATATAAATGTTGGGAAAAAAAGACATGGGTTTGACATGACAACAAATGTCGACGTGGTGTGTGGTTGCCTTGTAAGCAACTACTTTGAATCAGGTTCATAATTCAACTATTTTTGCAATGGTTACTTTCATTACGAAATTAATCTTTACACAGGACTGTTTGAAATGTGAATCTTATTACAAAACCAAATATTCATTAAAAATAGTACTAGAATAGTGATGGTTAACATGATAATTTTTTTTTTTTTTGAGTAGGGGTGATTAACTGGATCTGCATGCAAAAGAGATATTATTTTCAATAATTGTTGCAACTTCTGAGTGGTAAATGAAACTTCCAAGTATTTGTAACTTTTGTTAAAATTACTTTTTAATTAACGTATATCCTTTTATTGTTGGTCAGTCCTAGTTATTTTGGTTATACTAATGGTGTATTAGATGTGTTTCTCTGTTTTCATGTGAATCAAATTGATTACCCACAAAACGATTTGGAGTAGTACAAAAAAACGAGTTTTCTTTGCACCAGAAAACTTTATCTAACAATATGATAACGTTAAAAAAAAAGCGCTACGACATCTCCCGCGATAATAGGCATGAGACATAAGTTAACACATTAGGCATGGCACGTATGTAGGCATAGTAAGTTTCATATCGCTTCATATGAGATTTTGCTTGATTTTATCTTACATGAATTAAGTGTAGATTGGCCGATTTAATTTATAACCGGTATCTTCGGTTTACAAGCAAATTCAGACCAATTGATAAATAGTTTGGAATTGACTTATCTTAATGCATTTTTGATTTGGTAGTAGAAAATACCAAGAACGGATAAACTAGGACATACTGATAAAGATTAGGGTCTTTCGAATTGTCGGCATATAGATTAAACCTATGAAGGATATCTCTGTGATTGCATGTTTATAAAGCTAAATATATAGCATTGGTATAACTAGGTCGAAGCATATGTAGATGTCCCTTGGTTGTTTGACTGTGTTTATCTTTAGTTGGTTTATTTATATTAATCATTGCTTATATTAGGATATCCACAAAACTCAAAAAATCAATTTCATGCTTTAAGTGGCAAGATATATGTGTGTGTAATTTTCTTATTCAAATTACCAGATTTTTTACTTCCTTTTAATATGCTATAAGTTGTATTTATATATTTTTCAATTTTTATCATCAAATAAATTCATACTTAAAAATTAATACATATTATCTCATAGATTTAAAAATTTTATTTTTGATAATATTAAATAATATGTTAAAAAAAAAAATCTATAACTCAATATTTTACATAATCTGATATTTTTCTAAAATTAACAAAATTTGAAACACTATTATTTATTAAAATCTATAACGTATTACTTTTGAAACAGAAATAATAATTTTAAAAAATGAAATGGTTTTGATTTTGAATTGTAGAAGCAGAGGAGATGGATTAGCAAATACAGAGTAAATCATTCCCTTTTCAAGATAAAATATAAACATGCATGATTTGATATTTTTCTTTATAAAATATGTCCCCAAAAACAAATTAATATTCTTTTCTTCTTTTGATATTTGCCTAATTGTAAACAAATTTTTTATTAATGATAAATAAAGAGTTTTAGACAATCAATGGACTAATCTACAACCAAATAATCAAAATCTCTATAAAACTATTTCTAAGTATAACTAACATAATCAGACCAACCATATAGAGAGAGAGAGAGAGGCATATTGACTTTCCACACCAACGTGCGTCCATGCAAATGAGCCCTTTCGCTTTGCCAAACGCACACGCAGAAATCAACACACATGAGTATGCATATAAAGCTTTAAATCTAAACAAATAAAGATGCGTGTACAAATTTATAGGTATAGGAGAGAGACACGAGAGAATTACCAAAAAATGGGGACAAAAACCCATAATTCTAGAGGGAAAACCTTCATGATCTATCTCATACTTATCTCATTGTCACTTCTAGTTCTAGGTTTAATCTTACCTTTTAAACCTCTTTTACGGATTAGTTCTTCATCTTCAACGTTACGGATTGATGATCATCCGCCGCCGCAAGTCAACAAAAACCCGAAATGGTTCCGACTCATCCGTAACTATCTACCAGAAAAGAGAATTCAAGTCGGCTTCCTCAACATTGACCAGAAAGAGCGTGAGAGGTACGAGGCTCGTGGACCGTTGATACTAAAGAGCATCCACGTGCCGCTTGATCCTATACCAAAGAATGTTACTTGGAAGAGTCTTTACCCGGAGTGGATCAACGAGGAAGCTTCTAACTGTCCAGAGATCCCTCTCCCTCAGCCAGAAGGTTCTGATGCTAACGTGGACGTTATTGTTGCTAGAGTTCCATGCGATGGTTGGTCGGAGAATAAAGGGCTAAGGGATGTTTTTAGGCTTCAGGTTAACTTAGCCGTTGCGAATCTAGCTGTCCAAAGTGGGTTGAGGAGAGTTGATCAGGCGGTGTACGTTGTGTTCATCGGGTCATGTGGCCCTATGCATGAGATTTTCCCGTGCGATGAGCGCGTGAGGCGCGTGGATGATTATTGGGTGTATAAGCCTTATCTCCCAAGGTTGAAGCAGAAGCTTCTCATGCCTGTTGGTTCATGTCACATTGCTCCTCCATTTGCTCAATTTGGTAAATTAATAATTTTTTCCCTCTTTATCTTTGGAGAAATATAATTTTTAAGTTTCTATAACCTTAATTTTGACCGATTATCTCTCAATTTTTTTCTTTAATTAACAATAATCCTTCATTCTTATAATGTTAAATAGATTTCACTTTAATTAATCACTATAGGTAACGTTCGTATCTTTCTTTTTTTTTTGTTAAGTTTTTGGTGAATCATTGTTGCTAACCCGTATTTGTTTTTAATGAAAAGTTGCTAATAAGTAATATAAGGTTATTGGTTGGTGCGATTAGATCGTGCCTCACAGTATGCATATATAGTTTTGTTGACGTAATCTTAACATTGATTTTTTTTTTGCATATTTAAATATCACAAACATTCTCTCGTCCACATAAAACCATTAACATATATTTTACATTTTGTGTCCAAAATCTTTCTTTTTAATTCTGCTTTGAGAATTATAGATGTGGATGACAAACCAAATTTTCAACTACTTCAAATTGAAGCTGAGTTTTTAGATTAGATTATTGTAGGAAACTTTTGATTTCTATAGATTCTCTTCCTTGAAAACTTTTAATAAATATTTATTATAACCAATCTAATAAAGTATGTCAATGTGGATATATATGTTCAAATTATAAATCTTATCATCATAATTCCATACCCAATTTTAGCTTAAAAACATTTTTTCTTATTTTATTATAGCTTAAAATAATTAGGTAGGGATGAAAAAGCTTATCTTCAACAACCTTACTACAAACCCTACTGATTCACCAAATTTCCTCTTTCTACTCTTTCTTCTAATACCTCTCTCTACGTCTATTTACAGGCCAAGAGGCATGGAGACCAAAACATAAAGATAATCTTGTATCCGAGGCGGTCACAGCCTTACCCCGTCCCTTACGGGTCGCCTTCATAACAGTACTACACTCTTCAGAAGCCTATGTTTGTGGGGCAATAGCCTTAGCGCAAAGTATAAGACAATCAGGATCGCATAAGGATATGATTCTCCTCCATGATCATACCATAACCAACAAGTCTCTTATTGGTCTCAGCGCTGCAGGATGGAATCTCCGGCTAATCGACAGAATCCGCAGTCCTTTTTCGCAAAAAGACTCTTATAATGAGTGGAACTACAGCAAATTACGTGTGTGGCAAGTAACTGATTACGACAAACTTGTGTTCATAGACGCAGATTTAATCATTCTCAAGAAAATTGATTATCTCTTCTACTATCCACAACTCTCAGCTTCAGGCAACGACAAAGTGTTATTCAACTCCGGAATCATGGTAATGCAGCCAAATACTTGTCGTAAATTAATATTTAATTTTTTTGGTAAAATGTTCTAAATGAAAAAAAATTGATATGATCATCTATATATGTTGACCCTAAAATACTAGGAATGTACTAATTCTTTTCTCTTGACATCATCAGGTTCTCGAGCCATCGGCATGTATGTTTAAAGATTTAATGGAGAAATCGTTCAAGATTGAGTCATACAACGGAGGAGACCAAGGCTTCCTTAATGAGATATTTGTATGGTGGCACAGGCTATCAAAACGTGTGAACACAATGAAGTACTTCGGCGAAAAAAGTCAACGAAAACACGATCTTCCAGAGAATCTAGAAGGACTGCACTACTTGGGGTTGAAGCCATGGGTATGTTTTAGAGACTATGATTGCAATTGGGACATCAGCGAACGACGCGTGTTTGCTAGCGATTCTGTGCACGAAAAATGGTGGAAAGTATATGACAAAATGTCAGATCAGTTGAAGGGTTATTGTGGTTTGAATAAGAATATGGAGAAGAGGATTGAGAAGTGGAGAAGAATTGCTAAGAACAATAGTTTGCCTGATAGGCATTGGGAGATTGAAGTGAGAGATCCTAGGAAGACGAACCTTCTTGTTCAGTGAGAGGGTTATGGCTTTTTGATTTTTGTTGAAGGTTTTAAGGAAATTTGGGAACTGAGAAATGAAGAACCTTCTAATTCAAGAAAGGGTTTCGCTTTAGTATTTTTAGTACGACAGTGTACAATGTAGAATCTTACTTTGACGGATGAGAGTGAGATGTGGTAGACAGCAAATGACCCTTTGAATTTCACATTGTTTTGCCTATATAATCATTCAATGATATTTCAATCAATGAAACTTCTACAGTTTTACTTTTTTTTTTTTCCGTAAGAAGACATGTCTCTCCTTTTATTTAGTGAATAGATCATGACCAGTACGTGCGGGATTTTATATTTTAAAAATGTGTTGTAAGAAATTTAAAATAATAATGGTTTCTGCAGTATTTTAAAATTCGTAACAATTTAGCGGTCGGACCGAGATCAAATTGAAACGGAGTAATGGTTAGTTAGATTTTTATTAAACTTGTGAACTATCAAACTGTATATAAAAAAAATGATTAAACAAATACAAATATTTAGAAGTGGTCGTAATTCCGTTTGGTTTCGCCATGTTCCATTATATCCTATACCCGTTCCCCAATTCATGTCGCATAAGAGAATGCAATTCTAATATGAGACAAATTTATTAAATATAGACATTTTAAATTTATTTGATAAACTTGCTCACTAATTTTTAAAAACGAATCTTAACAAAATCATTAAAAGAAGAGAGAGTTTAATGTGAATAAATTTTAGATAATCATTTTGAATTAATTGTAATTAATGTCTAAATCTTTTAACAGCTTGTAATTTAAATTAATCATTTTGGATGTATATCATTTAAATTCTAATAAAAATGTGAAATATTTTTATCTATACTGGAAATATTTTCTAGATATTTACAAATCTAAAATCCAAATATTATTTGTTGGATATGCTATATTTTAAAGGATGGTAGTATTTAGTTTAGATTATATATGACAAATATAGTAAATGTTTTTTCATATTTGGAAAATCAAATTTTAAAATCGTTTTTTTTTTTTTCATGTGTACTAATCAGAATTGATTAGCATAGTTTAAGAAAATATTTTAAAATCTAAACTACCGTTTTTGAAAAAGATATTTCAAAATTTATATCATTTAAATTCTAATTAAAATGTAAAATATTTTAATCTTTATTCAAATTAAAAAAAAAACAATGGCATCCTATGTTATATTCTACAACTTAATGGTTTTTTATTATCTAGTGATTCCCAATTAATAGTATAGATATCATGTAAATTGGGGAATATGTGGTGTGGTAAGAAATTTACAAAAATTGGTTTGATCTACCGCAAAACATCTTTTTTTTCTTCTGAAAATCTTTTATGAACTAGCTCTATAAAATTTTAAGATGGACGATCTATCCCAAAAAAATATATCGTAACAAATCCCTTATCTATTAATTGAGAAGCATTTTTCGGAGAAGTATGCATCTGAGGAGGTTCGTGAAGATGTGTTCGCCATAAAAACTGCTAGTGCCCCTGGGGCTGACGGAATGACGGGTCTATTTTTCCAGCAGTATTGGGATATTATTGGTCCTCAATTCACTCTTGAAGTTCTAAGATTTTTTGAAGAAGGGGTTTTCCAACAGGAGTGGAACTTCACTTAAATATGCTTGATCCCCAAAAAGGTAACTTCAGACATCATGGCTGACTTGAGACCTATAAGCTTATGTTCTGTGATGTATAAGGTGATCTCTAAGATTATTGTGTCAAGATTAAAGCCGCTTCTGCCTGAGCTGGTATCTCCAACACAATCAGCCTTCGTGGAAGAGAGACTAATTTCAGACAACATCTTAATTGCTCACGAATTGGTGCATGGGCTGAGAACAAAGGAGTCTGTGGCTAAAGAGTTTATGGCCATCAAGACAGACATGTCTAAGGCCTTTGACATGGTTGAATGGAGCTATTTAAGGTTTCTCCTGATTGCTTTAGGGTTTGATCTCAAATGGGTTGAAATGGTGATGTTGTGTGTTTCTTCTGTTTCATACACGGTGCTTATCAATGGTCATCCTCATGGTCTTGTTGTTCCTCAACGTGGTCTAAGGAAGGGCGATCCGCTGTCCCCTTTCCTTTTTGTTCTTTGTACTGAGGGACTAACACATTTACTAAATAAGGCTGAGCTTCATGGACAAATTACTGGTTTAAGGTTCTCCAATGAAGGCCCTTCTATTCACCACTTGTTATTTGCAGATGACTCCTTATTTGTATGCAAGGCGGATGAGGATCAATGTGGGGTTATTCAAGATATTTTGAATGTCTATGGTAAGGCAACGGGTCAGTACATCAATCTGGATAAGTCTTTTATCACTTTTGGTGCAAAGATTGCAGAGGACATAAAAGTTTTAGTCAAAGCAAAGCTTGGTATTACTAATGAGGGAGGAGCTGGTACTTATCTTGGATTGCCTGAATGCTTCAGTGGATCTAAAAGAGATATGCTAGATTAATTATATTCACGAAAAACTAAAGAATAGACTCTCTGGCTGGTTTGCAAAAACCTTATCTCTTGGTGGAAAAGAAATTCTCCTCAAGACTGTTGCTATGGCGATGCCAGTGTATGCCATGTCATGCTTCAAAATTCCAAAAAGTACTTGTGATTCTCTGTCTAGTGCTATGTCATCCTTCTGGTGGAGTTCTGTGGAGAACCAGAGGAAGATTCACTGGATAGCTTGGGATAGAATGTGTCTAACTAAGGAGCAGGGTGGTCTAGGCTTCAAGGACATTGAAATGTTTAATCAAGCTCTCCTAGCGAAACAGGCTTGGAGACTCTTACAGGTCCCGGATTGCCTTTTCTCTCGGTTCATGAAAAGCAGGTATTACAATGACTCTCAGTTTCTTCTTGCTGATTGTGGTTCTCGTCCCTCCTTTGCTTGGAGAAGTATCCTCCATGGTACATCTCTTCTTCGTTTGGGATTGAAACAGATGGTTGGTAATGGTGCTTCTTTAAAGGTCTGGTCTTCTCTTTGGTTGGAGGATGGCAGGATGAGAGCCCCATTTATGAAGAATATTTTGGTGGACCTTGAGTTTTCGGTTGAGGACCTTATTGATGAGGACACCGGAACTTGGGATCCATGCTTATTAGAGGAACACTTCTTTCCAAGAGATGTGGAAATCATACTCAAATCAAAACCGGCATTGTCTTCTTCAGATTTTATGAGTTGGATACATAATAAAAGTGGAGAGTACAGTGTGAGATCAGGTTATTGGCTGGCTTGTCAAGAGTTAAAGAAGGAGGAGATTAACTTTGCTTCCATGCTGCCATCTATCAATGGAATCAAAGATCAAATCTGGAAGTTGCAGGCTCCTTCCAAGGTTAAAATATTCATTTGGAAAATTGTCAGCGGTGCTATTCCAGTGGCAGAGAACTTGAATTCTAGGGGGATGAACGTTGACTTGAGATGCCAGTTTTGTGGTTTTGAAGGTGAGTCCATAAATCATATCCTTTTTGCTTGTCCTGTGGCCAGACAAGTCTGGGCATTATCCGGGTTTCCTCTACCTGAAGATGGGTTTGATCAGTCTTCTATCTTTCAAAACCTTCATCTTGTTCTGTCCTTGTCCAAGAAACACTCTTTGCCTATCTCCACTAGAAGAACACTGCCTTGGATCTTGTGGTTATTGTGGAAAACCAGAAACAATCTTGTTATGGAGGGTAAAGTTTTTTCGATTTCTGATCTTCTTTTGAAAATTAATGAGGACTCTGCAGAATGGTTCATGGCTCAAGAAGTTGAGTTGGGATCTGAGAAGAAATCACAGGAATGTGTGTTGTCACATCATCTTCACTGGCGTCCCCCTCCTAAGCCTTGGCTTAAATGTAATGTTGGGTTTGCATGTAAGGTAATAATACCATCGCCTAATGTAATACCTTGTAAATACCTTTTAAAATACATTGCGGGAAATATTTTTACGGGAAACTTTTACAAGGTATTTTAAAGATTTTTACAAGTGTTTTGGCGGGAAAATTGCGGGATCACTTTTCCCGCCAAAAAATATTTTGTATTTTGTGGACCTAATTTTGTTATATTTCCTTATATATTTGTGATATCTTTTATTAAAAGAAGGGTAATTTAGTCATTTTGTACATAAAAGGGGTATTTTTAAAAATGGACAGGCAAAGGGGGCATTTTTGAAAAGGGGTATTGAAAAAGGGGCATTTTTGTGAGTCTCCCTTGATTTTATTATATATATATATGTATTTCACCGCAATTCAAAAATCAAACCGAAGTTTTTTCCAAATTACTGGATCTCCGAATCAAATTGGTACCATATCAGATCAGTGGGTTAGATTTTTTTAATGAAAATATAGAATATATAAATTTTAACTAAGTTTTTTATTAATTTTAACTAAAATTATTGAATATATTATTTTTACCAATAAGATACCTTTTATGTTATTCATAAGTTTAGGTATGTAATAATATAATTTAGGAAATAATTTTTATGGTGTCGAAATGTTTTTAATAATTTTATATAGTTTAATTAAAAATATTTAAATATGGTAAGTTTAGTAGTATCTATATATAGGCATGTCAATCAGGGCCAAAGTCCGCGGGCTGGTCCGACGAAGCCCTGAAAAAAAGCAGGTTGAGACTTAAAAATATATGTCCAGAAAAAAATGGGCATTTCGGGCTAAACGGTTTTTGGGGGTTAGCCCGGCCGAGGCTTGGACCGGTCCAAAAAGCCATTAAAAATATATTTTGATCTTTTTGGGTTAATATTTTCGTTTAATTGAGAGATTTGTTTAAAGTATTTTTTTTTAATAGAGTTTAAAACCATACAACTAGTTTTCTAATTGTGCCTTATTAGAAATTTAAAAAAGAAATCTCGGCTCTATTACCTATTTTGTAGTCTTCTGATTTTATATTTTATTTGGTATGAGTCAAAAAGATATTTGGATTATATATTTGATTTAAAACTTTTTCATTTAATCTAAATTACCTTTAGTGGTTATTTAAATTTCGATTGACTAGTTTTATACATAGATTTTTTCAAGAGATATTACAAATTACAAATTTGTTTTTTTCTCTCGAGAAAGAGCCTACAAATACACGGAAAAAGCTCTGTTAGGGCCATTACGGCCTTTA